AAGAATCTTCGCAAATTCCAGTGAGCTCACCTGCTGCGGCGACAACCTTGTGCATATATTCGTCGTCGTGGCGGTAAACTAGCTGTTGCGTTTATTCTTGCCACTCATTATCTACTTATTTACTGATGTAGTTATCGATGCTCAACGCATATACGTTTTTACTGTTTGCGTAGTTAGCCACTAGGCCACGCATGGCTTGTACTAATCACCCGATCATCAGAGCGCGGGGGAGTGCGTCTACGCTTGGACCGTACCGAGTGCTCGATCGCCAGCGAGCACAGAAATGCGTTGGAGTGGCCGAATCTGACCACCAGCGCTGCATTTAGCGCGATGTGTTGCGTTCGACATGTTCTGCGCTCACGCGATGGCTAAACGCCGTGTTTAGAGGGGTACTTGTTGCGCGTACTATTAGTACTCACTTCGCGTACTACTAATAGTACGCGAGCTATGTATAGCTGCGCCTTGTACAGAATGCAGCCGGCAAGTATTTGTGCTCTCACGAGCACGTGCTGAGTCGGCGACTGCAAAATAGATCCTTGCATTAGAATAACCAAAGACTTCATTAACTTCAATAAAATTATTGAGCGCCGTAGCACGAGTATGTTTGGCTTCCTTTTATGAATAGATAGCAAAGACGAATCTACTGTACTTCAAAAGCAAACATACTCGCACCATTTCCAACCAATCACATTCGACCTCTTTAAACAGATATTTTGTACGACAACATCCAATATACTGTTAGACTATTAAAATACGCAGTTGTTCAGAAATGGCAGTATGTAGAGAATCGATCGTAAATTCAATAAAATATGTAGTGGACCACACATTTCGAAATAATCCCTATAGGGCTGTCCGTACAAACGTACCGTTGCACTACCAGGATTAATATATAATATATACGCGGAAAGTATGACCACCGGTAGACTCTAAAATAAATTTCAGAGAATTAGTAGTTTTACACTGCAATAGTGAATAAATGATGATGGAAGGAAGCACTACATTCATCATAAATAAATGAGAAATATTTGTGCCTTCGTATAATAGTGCTTCCAACACCGAAATGAAATCGCACCTTAAAGTTTCGACCTAAACTTGCACCGTTTGGAAAGTTCATGGGGGGAAACAATGCATTGATGGGTAGTCCCGATCGTAAAGCACTGACGCCGTCATACTACTGAAGACAAAACACATATTGTGGCAAATCGTTTGCTGCTTTCTGATCATTTATTGCTTGTGAATTTGGTCGGCAAAATGCAATAATAATAAATGTGGTAGAAAATAGTAATGTTATCCATTATAATATATGTTTCCGAGCACTGCATTGGATAGCTTCAACTGTTTTACTGGCTTGT